TCCCTTATATACTTATAGATATCTCTTGAGGAGTAGACTAACACTAATTTATAGTCCCTCTAGGTTTTTTTAGTCTATTACTTTACTAAGACCTATAATAGTAAGAACTACTAGTATTATAATTAGTTATATAAGCCTTATAAGTTAGTAAGTGACCTATTTTATTCTAGCCCTATTTTAGTACCTAGCTATACTAATTTCGCTTAATTTTATAGGTTCTTAAGGGTGTTAAGGGAAACTATTTTAAGCTATTAGCCTATCTCTCTTAGGTTAAGTTATTTTAGTTAAATATAGCTAGTAGTTATAGCCCCTCTTTAGATATATTTACTAATAATAAGGCCACTAAATTACTCCTACCTTATAAGCTTATTATAGCTATTATAGAGGCTATCTAGTATCTCCTTACTAGTTTTAATAATTTTATTAAGGCTTATCGCTAGGTTTATAGGTTAACTAGGGTAAATATAACTTATATATATACCTTTCTTTTAAGTACTTTTATAGTACTAATATTTAATAGGAAACTTAGGATACCTATTCTTAGTAGGTATCTAGCTATATTTCGCTAGTAGTTCCTAAGCCTACTATTCCTACCTTAGCTATTAAGTTCGTAAAGTTAGCTAATAAGGCTATATAGTACCCCTAGCTCTAGGTAACTAAGGAGATAGCCTATAGCTAGTATACTAGTATAGTAACCTTCTACTAGGGGATCTAGGACCTTATTAATAAGGCTAAGGTAGAGAGTATTAAGGATAATATAGCCTAGTACCTAGATACCTATATAGGTATTTTCCCTTTAAACCCCTATATTTAGGGGTATATTCTTATCCTCTTTTCGCTAGTATTATAGTAGTATCCCTTAGTATTTTCTAGGTTTTTTCTATATCTCTTCTAGTTTATCTACTATAGTAAGGCAGTCTAGATAAATATTTATAATATCTAATTTTTAGTACTATTCTAGGTTTAGTTTAGTGACCTAATATTAACTAGTCTTATCTTTCTTAGTTTTCTTATATCTTACTATCATTTTTAGTATATTTTTTATATTATCCTCTAAGACCTACTAGTTATATTCTAAGGGCTAGCCTACCTATTTTATAAGGTAGTATAGTTCTCTATCGAACTTCTAGTCTCCCTTAATCTCTTCGATTTCCTATTTATTATTATTAGCTAACTTGGGTAAGGGTAATTATTTTAGCTCCCCTACCCTTTATTACTATAGTTATAGTAGCTAGACTAGGAATATATTATAAATTACTCTATATTCCTCTAGGAGTTAGAGTTAGTATACTTATTTTCCTATATATTTAAGGATTCTAAATAGTCCTAGGAACCTATCTTAGGGGTAGTTTCTTTCTAATTCCTTTAAGTTATAGGTTTTCATTAATAGTACTACTAGGTTATTCCTTTTTAATAATATTTCTTTATAATATTTATTATAATAGAGTGCTTATATCTTAGTAGCTTTTTACTATAATATCTATAGTTTTTCTCAAAGCTTTTCTAGCTTTTTAATATAAGATAATACTACTAGTACCTCTCTCTCTATACCACTATCCTTAGTATATATTTAAAAGTCTAGATTAAATCCTAGTAATACCTAAAATAGTGATATTCCTATTATAATTGCGGAGCGAAGCGAAGCAACCCATATCATAAGGGCTAGGGTATACGTCACGTGACCTTGCTCCTATATGAGGTCCAAATCCATAGAGTTCTAATGCGGCGAAAATGTCATCGCTGAGAAATAGCAGAATAATTCTGCCAGCAGTAGATATACACCAAGCCCAGCAATTGAAATTATTTATCATATGATATAAACCGTGTGAATCTAAATACGATAGTGATTTGTTACACACTAGCTAACTGGTCACGGTTAGGTTGGACAGTTCAGGGTATAGTTACCTTAATATGCCTTAGATTCTCTAACGTTAACGATATACCTATTGTCACTAAGCTACTACCTATTCTGTTAGGCCTTACTATAGCCTAAGTCCCTAGAAGTTATATCGAGGAATCGATACTACACTCTATAACTAAAAGTCCTACGATAGTCGGTTTTTACCCGCACCCCATTAAATATATATCACTACATTCAACTATATATTTTACACCACTAATATAGTAAATATATATTAATTTTAATATCAATAGATAGAGAAATAGCCAATGAATTTAATACATTTAATATTCAGTATAATACCCCTTTGCCTTACGCGTAGTAAGCAATCTCCTAGGCACAGAGCGAATTAAATCGTTAATTACACCCTGATCAAGTGTATCCCATACAGCGTATATAGCTCTCTTAAAATACATCCAATCCTCTACACTCCTACCTATTTCTATCAATTCGGGGTACATATTTAATAATTTGACCTTTAGTATCTACTAGCAAGGCTCAATAGGGCTGAGATCAGGTGAATATAGAGGCTAATCCTCGATATATACCCTATATTGTTTAAACCACTCTCCTACAATACCCGTAGTATATATACGGGTATTATCTTGCTAGAAGATAGTTCTAGGTATATAGATTGGGAGAAGGCCTTCTTCAAGAGTATTAAGATAGGAATTTACTATATAGCTATTCCTAACACCTTATCTCTCCCGTTCTATAACCACTAACTTTATACGCCTACTAAGCCAGATCCTAGCCTATACTATTTGCGCAATATCCTTTATATAAACCTTAAGGTTCACAAGTTCACACCGATAGGTCTTAGATTGGAATCTCTAGGCCTATTTTATACCAGAATTAGACATTCGTCAAACGGAACATTCGTCCGACCAGATCTAGTTCGAAAAATCAAGTTATATCCACTATTTCCGCGCAAAAGTGAGTATTTTTTTTACTATTTAAACGCTAATAGGGATCTTATTTAGAGATCTCCTTTTGTATAGATTATAGGCTCGGTAAACCCTTCGAATTGTACTTCGAGAGGGGTACCTAGGGCAGCTTACGCCGAGGCGTTTATAGGAACAAAGAGGGTTCCGGCGGGCCCGTAAATATATAGATTTACGGGCGCGTTGGTTAAAGATTAGGGGGCGGCCGGTACGGGGTCTCGACAAGGTATTTTTTTGCTCTAAAAACCGCTCTTTTGTACGGTAAATAGTGCTCCGGTGACAGCTATATTCGACGGCGAGTTTCGAAGTAGATACCCTAGTATCTAGGGCACTGCATATCCCCACACGTTGCTTAGGAGATAGCTGGCATTAAATACCCCTATTTCCAGAGATTTCAGTGCCGAAAGAGCGTATGGTTGTTGTAGGAAGAAAAAAATAAATAGGGTGGTTGGGGGGTGATATACTATACGCTAAAAATGTGGGGTTTGTCGCAAGACTTTTGGCATAGGATGTAGGTAGAGCGCTGAGTAGATCTATACTAAGGTATTAGTCTAGCTTATAGTGTTATTAAGTTATAACTAAGTTAAGAGTTAGTAGTCTTAAAGGTAGATATAAGTAATAATATATAATTAAAGACAAAGAACTAAACTGAGTATATAAATGAATGTCCTTATATATCCTCCTATCTTCCTCTAGTAGTTAGGTAGTTAGTAGACTAGTAGATTCGCCTTAGCGGAATCTACTTATCTACCGTCGACCGTTCTACTACCTATATAGTCACGTGACCTAGCGCCGGGGTCTCGCGACGCTGATGCTTCCTATATATGATGGTTTCGTTGGCTCTGGATGGCCCAGTTATGTAGCGGGGTATTTGTCCTGGTGGGTGCCTGATAGGTCCGTAACATGATTATATAAAAAAAACCAGCACCTAAGTAGGTAAAAAACCTTGTCACTTCGCTCCATAAGGACTATCTGGTGGCCGAAGGCCACCAAGATCCCTTGTAATAATATATCTATCCAATATCTTTAAAATTGAGATATGGTGCTAATAAGTTTTATCGATAGCTATCGACAAATAAGGAGCTAAAATAATAACATGGTTGTTGAAATATAAATGTAGAATATATCGCATTTACTATGTGTTTGGGACTACGCAGCTCGCATGTGGAATACGTTAGTTAGTGACTGGGCGTTGATTATGTAATCACCGCTAGATTTCCAAAGATTCACCAGTTTATATCACGTGATAAGAACTTTCAGAACCTAAGGCCTCTAGTACAGAGGCCCAGCAGAATTATTCTACCATTTCTCAGCGATCGTTTTTCACCGCATTAGAATCCTATGGATGTGGATCTCATATAGGAGTAAGGTCATGTGACATACACCCAAGCCCTTATGATGATATAGATTGCTTCGCTTCGCTCTATAATAAGCTAGTTTAATATATAATCTAACGGGCTAGGTAGGCTTTGTGATCTTATATAAAGTAAAGCTTTGATTCATAAAGCCTATTAATATAGTTCTTTCTCTATAAAGGGGGTTTTTAGGGTGAAATTCTAGCTTAATTCACTACCCTAGCTAGCTAGGGGGTAGGGGTTCGAAGCTAAATATTAAGCTTTAAAATCACTCTCTTTAGTGTAAAAGGTATTAAACTAGTAGATCGAATGCTATTTTTAATAGTCTCCGATTCAAAAGCCTCTATTTATATAAGGGGGTATACTTCAAGGAAATTAAGTTTATTAATATAATTTCTCCTATTCTATATATTAAATTTAACTAGCTAGCTATATATATATTTTAATACTATAAAATAGCCTATATCTAGAGGCTATAAAAGGTAAGAGGAGTATAGAGGTATATAGATTAGTATAATTTTATTTTCTTTATAGATTTTATCGAATCTTAGGGTTAAATAACTTCTATAGCTATTAAGTATTAAAAGCTAATACCCCCCTTTATATACAAAAAAGTGGTAGGAATAAAGAGCTTTTTAATCTAGCGAAGTCTAATTTTATTAGAGGTCTATCTATTAGGACTAACCTTAAATCGCTAGTCTCCTAGGAGGCTATTAAACTAAGATTTAATAAAGACTTTACCTTTAAAGATCATATATAGTGGGAGGGCCTAGCTAGTAGTATTTATACACTTAATAATAGTTACCTATTCTCGATTTCTAGGCTATAAAAGTGCTCACTAACTATAGTATTCACTCCTTATTATAACCTTCGCGGTTACTATTAACCCTATTGTAAAACTAGTCTTACGAGGGATCTTAGTGGCCTTCGGCCACTAGATAGTCCTTATAGAGCGAAGTAATAAGGTTTTTACCTAGTTAGGTATAGGGTTCTAATTATATAATCACCATCGAATTTAGATTTAACGTATTTTATAAGCGAGCTACGTACATAAGCGAGCTATATACCTATATATAGACCACCTATTAAATTTAACTATATTTATCTTAACCAAAACACTATTAAATTGATTTAACTAAATTGACATATCTAGCTAAATACCTATTGATTTTATACCCTATTTCTCCATAGCCACTACACTTTAGTAGGGCCTACGTACGTAGTTATAAACCTAGCTAAGGGCTTCTTTGTGGAGGGGAGGGGGGTACTTTATCTACTTCCACTAGCTTAGTAATTAACTAAGAAGCTTCTTAAACTAAGAGCCCTTACTTAGTGGGTATCTACTTCTAGGATCGAGTCCTTTTTTACTTTTACTTCTTTTTTATAGTATATAGCTCGCTTACTTCTTTCTTAAGTAAAGTGTTAGACTATATCGTGATTTAATAGGCCTTTAAGACCTAATTAATCGCCTTATTTAGGGGACTTAGTGGGCTATATAAGTGTGTATAAAGTAAGGCTTTAATTAAGGTTACTTACTTTTATAATTATATATAATTTAGGGTATCCTTAGGTCCTAATCGCTCCCCCTACTAGAGGGGGGGTAGGGGTTTAAAGTCGAATATTAAGCTTCTTAATCACTTAATTAGATATAAAAGGTACTAAACTAGCTACTATAAAGCTATTCTTAATAGTCTCTGATTTAAAAGCCTTAATTTATTAATTTAAGCGGATAGATACGCTTTAAGGCAGTTAAGTTTATCGATATAGTTAATTCTACTTCTTATCTTTAACTTAACTAGCTACCTATATAATTATTTTAATACTATAAAATAACTAATATTAAGAGGCTATAAAAGATAGGATAAATAAGGAGGTATATAGATTAGTATAACCTTATCCTTATTTTACTTATAGATCTTATTAAATTTTAGGGTTAAATAGCTTCTATATCTATTAAGTATTAAAAGCTATTATCCCCCTTTTATATATAGAGAAATACTAGGATTAAAGAGCTTTTTAAGCTAGTAAAGTCTAATTTTATTAGAAGTCTAGCTATTAGGACTAACTTTAAATCGCTAATTATCTAGGAGACTATTAAACTATAATTTAATAAAGAATTTACCTTTAAAAATAATATATAGAGGGAGGGCCTAACCTAATATATTAATATATTTAATAGTAGTTACCTATTTATAATTTCTAGGTTATAAAAGTAAGCGCTAACTATAGAATTCGCTCCTTATAATTACCTTTACTATTATAGTTAAGCCTATAGTAAAACTAGTCTTATCGAAGTTATAAATATTATTAGGGTCGATTCTAAACTAGAGGATTATCTTTTAGATAAGATTAAACCACTCCTAGATAACCTTTAGGTCTTTATTATTTATATATTTATAATTATAGTGTATCGAAAATTTAGAGGATAGAGAAAGGTATCTTTTTATAAAGTTTATAACCTAGTTTTCACTAACCGAAACTACTAGGGTAGTTCCTCGATATTAAAGGAGAAGGTTCACTATTTCTTATATAGTAGAGGGATAGGGAGCTAATCCGCGAGAATCTATAGAGAAAATATATTTCTTAAGAGATTCTTCTTCGATTTTTATTAATTTATAGGAGTTTACGTAAGTAGTCGCGTATTATTAGACCCTATATAGGTATATCCGAAGTGTAGATTTAGGGATATTGTAGTAGCGCGCTATACCATAAATTAATAAGATTTCTTGATTCTTAAAAGCCCAGATAGCTAATAAGATCCTACCCTCTTACTCTATTGAATTTCTAGAGCTTTAAGAGCGAATTAGTGGTATAGTGGGTAGTTAAATTAATTGATTGCTAATTTATAGACACGTTTTGGGTAGGGTGTGTAGCTCGCTTATAAAATATATTACCTAACTAGGTAAAAACCTTATCACTTCTCTCTATAAGGACTATCTAGTAGCTAAAGGCTACTAAGATCCCTTATAGAGGATATAACTAAAATAATATTATACCTACTATTTCTACTAAAACCCTTAGAACTATTACCCTATTAAAATAGGAAAAGACTACCACTAAATTTACCCCTTACTACCTATAGTTTAAATAATAGAACTAGGAAGGACTACTTAAGACTCTAGATATATACCGCTAAGGGGATACCTAACACACGCTTATATATAGTAATACTTGTCTCTTAGAGCTAGTTTAGGATATTATATTTTACCTAGGTCTATAATATATATCCTTTATCCCTAAGCTATAAGTGTTACCTAGATATAATATAATACTAATACTACTATCTTACTAATACACTTTATAAGCGCTAATAGTGAGGATTTAGGTATATCATATATTAAACCTCTAAATATTATTAATAAGAAATAGAGACTAGCTACTAAAATATTAGTGATATATACTTAAAATAGTATAGTATTAAATTATATATATTACCCTTAGCTACTCTAGTAATACACTTAAAGCTATAAGTAGACCTATAAGCTTAATATACTACTATAAGGGAGCTTAGTGGCCTTTAGCCACTAGATGGTCCTTATAGAGCGAAGTGATAAGGTTTTTACCTAGTTAGGTACTAGGTTTTTTTTATATAATCACTATTATATTTAGATTTAGATATTTTATATTATATAATAAATAATTTTAATTACTAGGCTTAGTATATATCTACTACCGGTAGAATTATTCTACTATTTCTTAGCGATAATATTTTCGCTATATTAGAACTCTATAGATTTAGACCTTATATAGGAGTAAGGTTATATAATATATACCTAAGCCCTTATAATATAGGTTACTTCGCTTCGCTCTATAATAAAGTCCTTAACTAATTAAAGAACCCCCTTATTTATAGTCTCTAAGAAATCGGTATCTTATAAGAGGTATCTATTATTTAGGGAATATATCTACTTAGCCTAGATAAGGATTAATACTAAATTATAGGTATCCCCCTATATTTCCTAAGCTAGATACTTATATATCTTATATCATTCGATATATTACTAGTATTTCTTTAAGTTAGTAGTGTAAAGGAAACACTAAATCGATACTAGTCTAACTATATCTCTAATATCCTAACTATTAACACTAATACGTAAGTACTTTATACACTAGGTATATTTTAACTAGATTAGGTTAGAATAAGGAGTTAGAGGTATAATAAGGAGATAATTATAGTACTAAATTATAGTTATATACCCCTCTTAAGTAATTATTAATTTCTTAATCAAGATAAATAAGATAGGATTACCTATAAAAAGAGTAGTCTAGGAAATCCTATTAGATTTAGGACCTACTAGATAAAGAAAATATCCTACTTTAATAGTCTATTTTAGAAAGTGTAGATAAGGATATCTATATAGGAGAGGAGTAGGTCTATCGGCGCACCCCTTAGCGCGAAAAATGTCTAACTGCACACCCCTAGTCTATTTTAGGTATAGAATTTCTTAGCCAACTATTTATCATCTTTTATATAATTTAATATAGTATCTTTATAGTAAATAAGATAACTATCACCTAAAATTTAGCTCCTAGTAACCCTACCCTCGAATGAATTAGCGAGATTATATGCCCTATAATTAATGTCCCACAATTCTATAATTAATTCAATATTATCTCTAGTTTTAAAGGCTCCATTTTAAAAGGCTTATTTTTAAAGCTATTCCTAGATTAACTATAGATCCTTACTATAATACTCCCCCCTCCCTATCGAAGCCTATAAACCATAGGAATCCCCCCCTAGCCTATCGATTTACCTCTAAAGAGGAGGTATTAACTACCCTAAATAGCTAGGCTTTACCCTAGGGCTTCGCTATTATATAGTACCGCTTAAAACTAGGGAAGAAATACTAGCTAAAATATAGCCTAGCCCTATTAACCAAGATACCTATTCCGGAGGAGAAGAGATAGCGGAAGCGATATTAGCTAGTAAAATATTATAATTTTAATAGTATACTTTATATTCTTTAATATGGTACTTAGCTACTAGAAATATATAGTATAACTTAAAACTATATACCCTAGTATATATTAGAACTTAGTACCTACTATCTTACTAAGATATCTAAGATCGAGGAGATTACCCTACCCTAGCTTAGCTAGGGTACTACTAATCGGTATATCCTTAGTGGGATACCCTAATCCGCTAAGTTATAGGGTAGGGAGTTAAGTTTATAGCCTAAGGATATTATTAATATATATACTAACCTTAAATATAAATCTCTTAGTAGTCTTACCCCTATATAGGCCTTACTCACTAAACTTCGTACGGATAGGTAATAGATTATTAGATATATAGTTAATACCTATAATAACTCACTCTAATATCTTTTTATAGTTTATCGGATAAGTCTTAAGACACTCTAGGCTTACCTATACTTTTTCTAGATAGACTATATATATAAGAGTAATAAGTGATATATACCCCTACTTAATATAGTGGGTATTACCCCTATTAGCACTAGTTTTTTTCGCTACTTAGGCCTTCATTAGTAGCGAGAAAGAACCCTTATATCTTTAGGTATTAGGCTAGTTATAGGATATCTACTAAGCGCTCTATAGTAGCGAAAAAGTCCTACTATATAAGTAGATAATATTATCTAGTTATATATAATATACTACCTACTATAGATCCCTCTATAGTAAATAGTATACCTTATAATATCGTAATAACTACTAAGGGTTATATCTTAGATACTAGGGATCCTAAAGCCCCTAGGATCGATAAGCCTGATACCCTTAAGAGTACTCTAGATAAGAGTACTGATTACTATAGTCTACTTACTATTATTACTAATAAAGAGAATACACTCTATAATATAATTAAGAAGGTATTATTCCCCCTATTTTTACTAGTATTATACTTATAATGAAAAGGTCTTTCTAGGTACTAAGGCCTTACTCTATATATAGTATATTACCTATAATATTAAGTGTTATATAAGGCCTTCTATCTAAGCTATCTTCCTATATTAATTTAAGTCCTTCTCCCTTACAAAAGAAGCAATCTACCACTATATTAATAAGTTCTAGCTTATTATAAAAGCGCACTAGTATAGTGTTATTTATACCTAGGATACCACTATAAAAGATATAAATTAGGTAGTCTTTAAGAATAAGTATAAGGCTTATCCTATACTTTTATAGTATATTTACTATAAATAGATTAAGGGCTATAGGATATATTTCCTACGATACTATACTAAGGATTCTTTCTATATAGATAAGACCTTAACCTCTTAGGTATAAGCTGCCTACTAGAGCCTAAAGTGGGATCTAGATAGCTTATCCTATAATTTATAGGGGGTAGCTATAGCGATTACCTCCACTATTATATACCAGGTAATAAATACAATACAAAAAAATCTATATAGAGTAAGGGTAGGTATATATATAGGGTATACCTTTATTCTATAGGGTAGAGACCTATATCTTAAGGTATATAATTAAACGCGCGATAATATAATTTAATTCCTATCTACCTCCTAGTAAGGGGAAGCTTAGTATAAACTCTATATACTTAGGCTTATCCTAGCGTACCTAGGGAATCCCTTATATTCACTAGATATTCGAAGTATAGTAGAGTGGATAGGAGAAGTACTTTACTACTACCCTATTAATTAACCTAGACCTTATTTAGTATAGGTATTATCTCTATATATATACTACTAACTATTTATAGCTTACCTAGGCCGACTTCTACCCCTAATAGTGGATTAGACCTATACTAATAAATACCTCACTAGTGCCCCTAGAAGTAGTATAGTTAGTATAGAATCCCTATATTATATAGGGGCGTGGTTAGCCTACTAATATTATTATTATCTTATTATCTTAGGTATCCTAGTAATTTACTAAGGGTACTAAGCGTTCTAAATCAGGATTTAAGTATATATAGGAGTAGGAGGAAGTTATTATTAAGGAGGAAGCCTAGGTATAGATACTACTAAGGTTATTAGGCTAGGTACGTAAGGTAAACTAATAACACAATAATAAATTCACTTCGCTCGGCGAGATAATATTAGATTCGGAAGTTAAGGTAGGCGTAGGCTAAATTTCTATAGGGGAGAGCTCTATAGACGAAATTATTGTTAGTAAGTCGATAGTGTCTTATTCTCAGGGGGTTTATCGGGGAGCGAGGTAGTTAAACTAGACTAGGAATATATAAATAATCTAGGAATAAAGAGAGTAGTATATAAAATTGATATCTAGGAATAGCTTCAAAAATAGGGCTTTTAAAACTGGAGATAATATTGAATTAATTATAGAATTGTGGGACATTAATTATAGGGTATATAATCTCGCTAATTCATTCGAGGGTAGGGTTACTAGGAGCCAAATATCAGGTGACAGTTGTGTTATTTACTATAGAGATACCATATTAAATTACACAAAAGATAACAAATGGTTGGCTAAGAAATTCTATACCTAAAATGGACTAGGGGTGCGCCGATAGACTTACTTATAGGAGAGGGAGGATAATTATAATAGATAAAGGTCCTTTTACTTCTAATATATAATTATCTATCTAAATACATTATAGTCTAGGGTTAAAGTAGGGTTAATTCGTAATCGGCTTAGGTATATATAGGGTACTAGAGTATAAGAACATAGAGATCGTAAGGATCCTATTCCTTTAGTAAGAGTTAGTCTTATAACTTAAGATAAATATAATTTAGATCCCCTCTCCTAATTAATAAAAAT